CGTTTATCTACAGCTAGAGACTATTAACTGTAACTGAAGTGTGTTACATGTTTCATAAAACTAAAGGCGTTACATTGTAAGAAGGGGAGGTTTCAAGCAAACATTTTTAGAGACTATTAACTGTAACTGAAGTGTGTCACATGTTTCATAAAACTAAAGGCGTTACATTGTAAGAAGGGGGAGGTTTCAAGCAAACATTTTTATTAACTATTAACTGTAACTGAAGTGTGTCACATGTTTCATAAAACTAAAGGCGTTACATTGTAAGAAGGGGGAGGTTTCAAGCAAACAAAATCCGTAGACTTACCGCTGTCCCATCGGGGGACTCCTGAGCGTGAATCACCTTTTGTGTCTGTGTCAAATATTCAAAGTGCTCATTTCTCTACTTATTTATTGTAAATTAATATAACTGAAACTAAATTATTATCACTATTCACTATTATTTCTTATATACTTATGTATTCTCTATTTTTAACAAATATCAGTTTCACAACGCGTTGAATGCCAAACCAATGTTATATCGCTAAAGTAAGCATCCAACGTCTGTTTATGTGGATAAAAAGTGGAAGCAAAACCGTCCTGAGTATGTGTGTTTATAGCAATACCACATCGAGCTATTTGCTGTGTCCACCGAGGGGGAATCGAACCCCTGATTCTAGCGTTGTGTTATAAAGAGATACGCATAGGAGAGAGAAAAATTTAGGGCTGTACAACCACGACTTTGTAGGAAAGTGTCATGAGAGTCTTGTTTTTTTTTATTTGTAAATTTCAACAAGTAAATCAAGTTTTTTTAATCTTCTCATCGATTTTATTTCTAGGTTATAGTAACGTGGAATTAAATGAAGGTTATCAAGTGACACTGATTTTCAGAGACACTTCCCGATTTTATAGCAGTGTCAATGAAAGCAAAACCGTCCTGAGTATGTGTGTTTATAGCAATACCACATCGAGCTATTTGTTGTGTCCACCGAGGAGGGAATCGAACCCCTGATTCTAGCGTTGTAAATCCGTAGACTTACCGTTAAACAGATTTTTTTAGACAGTTAATTGCAAATTAGACGGGTTATATTTTCGACGTAATGAAATTTCCACTTTCCACACTCTTCTCTTTCCCATATTGTATTGTGTTAGAAACTTCCCTTCTTACGTGCTCTTATTATTTTATTTTTTCTTACCAGGGCCAAGGTCTCGAAGGTCAAAAAAAAAGATAAAGTCGGACGAGAAACGTCCAAGGACGGCCTTCACAACAGACCAGCTAGCTCGACTTAAGGCAGAATTCCAAGAAAACCGCTACCTGACAGAAAAGAGACGACAAGACTTAGCTCGTGAGTTACAGCTTAACGAGTCCCAGATCAAGATCTGGTTTCAGAATAAACGGGCCAAGATTAAGAAGGCCACCGGCCATACTAACACCCTAGCTCTACAGCTAATGGCCCAGGGCTTGTACAACCATACTACAGTCCCTGTTCATAATGAACTGGACGACACAGATTCCTCGTAAAGTGACCATTGGACACTGATAAACAAACTAAAATCTAGGTATCAGATTGTAAAAAAAAAAAAAAGACGGACACCGTGACATGACGCCGTTCATACACATGTAAAAAAAGAAAATGTTTACTTTACGCTTGAAGGATGTACAGACGCCATCTGCCTTCATGAATTGGGAGTTTCTTCAGGAGTAGACGTTATGGCACTGCCGTTAGTCAGTACTAAGTTTGTCCTCCAGGTGGCTTCCCATTAAGTCATCTTGTAGCATAACCTTTGTTTGATGGGTAACAAAGAACACGAATGTCTTCTACGCTAACAGAGATTACGGAGTTGATCAGTAATCTGAGATTTTCTAAGTCATTACTCGCTAACTTGTGTGCATAGTGTATTTTAGTTGTAGATAACTGGGCCGTTTCGTGTTTCGTAAAAACTGAATTGCCCCAAACTTCTCTCAGTCTTGGAATGTCGCAACGTGCAATAACCTGTGCCATGTAGTTAAGTAACTTACAAGCAGACGTTGATGTCAAATCTGATTAGCACTCAGAAACGATTAACTGTCAGTATTTCGTCATATGTGGCTTGCTTCAGATTTTTATCAGATGAATCAAGTATGAACACAAAAATCTCCAATCTTATTTGATTAACCATTGGTTTGTATGACACTGTGTCTGGAATTTTTGAATCTGATTAATTTCCGGTTTGATTATAATTGTTTTGGCCTTCCCTGTACTCTGTTTGATTTGATGTTTGTTTTTTACTTGATATACATCATTATTTTTTTGAAGTAACAAACTAGACTAAACAGTTGAGAGTAGTTTTTCCCCGTCAAGATTTACTCGACGCTGGTCTCTAGTGTAACTCAGACAGCAAATCATTTTGTGTCTCTAGTGTGACTTAGACAGCAAATCATTTTGTGTCTCTAGTGTTACTTAGACAGCAAATCATTTTGTGTCTCTAGTGTGACTTAGACAGCAAATCATTTTGTGTCTCTAGTGGGACTTAGACAGCAAATCATTTTGTGTCTCTCGTGTAACTCAAACAGCAAATCATTTTGTGTCTCTAGTGTGACTTAGACAGCAAATCATTTTGTGTCTCTAGTGTGACTTAGCCAGCAAATCATTTTGTGTCTCTAGTGTGACGTAGACAGCAAATCATTTTGTGTCTCTCGTGTAACTCAGACAGCAAATCATTTCGTGTCTCTCGTGTAGCTCAGACAGCAAATCATTTTGTGTCTCTAGTGGGACTTAGACAGCAAATCATTTTGTGTCTCTCGTGTAACTCAAACAGCAAATCATTTCGTGTCTCTCGTGTAACTCAAACAGCAAATCATTTTGTGTCTCTAATTTCTCATTAGTTCTTTTTTTTCCTGCTGTTTCGGAAACAATACAAATAATTTCATATTGTGTTTTACCTAGTTTTAATGCGATTTCTTTTAGACATCCAATTGTAATTTACATTGATAACGGGGACCCACTTTTTAAGTTTACTCACACTACGTCAACAAAATACCACAGAACATGTTTTATTTAGTACTGCGTCAGAAAATTAATTTTTATCATATTTTACGTTTCAATATTTAGAGCTGAAATGATTCGCAATATTCATGGTAATTGTTCTATCGGAATGGCGATCAGTTTAAGTTTCTCACGAAGAATTTTGACGGTAGCGACATCTGTATTGTTCTCAAGTATAGAATAACAAATCTTTATTTTTTATCTGTTGATAGCAGTATCTTTTATTGTGTTAGTTTAAATTTCGTATCCATTCCAATTCAAAAATTCCATATAAAATAAACCAGTTCATTATTTCAAAATAAATCTAAAAGCTGGGTACGATGACTTTTTTTTTTGCTGCAGTTATAAATTGGTTAGGAGTTTTTGGTACATGAGAAAAAAAGAAGAAAAATCTTCAAATGATAAACATATACATTAGTATAATACTATTAGAAATACAAAGAATCTTTCTCCTGATATTTGGTGATTTTAAGTGAGAGAAATCATAAAAGCGAGGTTTATGTATCACTTACATAGTTCAAGTTAAATACATTTTACGAATGATAAAACAAAGTATTTAAAATTTTTAAAGTTAATTATGTTTGAACTGTATATAAAATGATAAATTATAAAGTTATGTCGAAATGGCAGCATTCCTTTCAATTATGATAATTTTGTGCAATGATATTTTCTCATTAGTAGAAGTGATTTATGCGGTTTTTTTTTCTTGAATAAAAATATTTCAAAGGTTTTAATATGTACATTTTTCTTTTAAAGTCAACAAAGGTAGGAGTTTATTAGAAACGTACATGTAAATTATATTGCTGGAACAATCAGTTTGTCTAAGTATAGTCACTGTCTCTTGTTTAAACAAAAGCATACCCTCTTTTTTGGCAGTTTATTTTTTTTTGCCACCCAGTGACACAGCGGTATGTCTGCGGACGTACAACGCTGGAAACCGGATTTTGATACCCGTGGTGGGCAGAGCACAGATAGCCCATTGTGCAGCTTTGTGTTTAACTTCAAATAAACAAAACTTTTGTTTTTATTTCGTATTTCTTTTCAAACTCCGACTCAGTTGTAAGTCTGAGGGCTTATAACGCTAAAAATTAGGTTTCGATACCCACTTGAGCACAGCACAGATAACCCATTGTGTAGGTTTGTGCTTCACAACAAACAAACAAAAACATTAACTTCATTATTGATGCTCGATAGTTGAGATCACATATATGTGTATATTTGGTATTTATATATTGAAGACAGCTGCAAAACTTAGTTGTCCTTGATGATTGAAGATAATTCATTAACAATGTACATATGCGTTTTCTGTATAAGTTTCTGAAAATGGAAATAAAATATTTTCAGTGCTGTACATTGTTTCTTTTTAAATATGTTTAGATAATTTTGTTCGTTTATAAATATACAAAATTAATGTGAAAAATTATACAATTACAGATATACTGGTATTCATGTGAGTAAATGATACATTGAATGCGTGTAGGATATTTTACACAGAAAAACATGTGATTTGTTAACACTAACGTTTAAAAAATATGGGTGAAGGTTTGATGATTTAATGTTTGATAAAAAATCGAGGATGGTTGATGTTATCAGATTTCAATAGTGATAGTGGGATCTGGAACGTTG